ATGTAATATGCATTGACATATGCCACCACTTGCTAGATATTTAATCCATGTTGTTTATTTTCTCTAATTGAAATAGGATCACTAAGTAAAAGTAAGCCATAAAAATTACTGCAAAATACTTGCATTTTGCTCTGTGAAACCAGGAGCAATTACATTGTTTTGCAATAGTGAACACTGCCACTATTATGCAGTGTCTCTCAGAGAAACTTTTTTTTTAATATAAAAGCAACTAGGCTTTAATCTTTTTTCACAAGATTACCAGCAGTAGTATCTCTATAACACTGACAATCTTCTGTATACTTTCAGAGTTCAGCACTATGCTGGTGGCTTGGAGGAGTGGGCAAAATATGAACCACCAGAGAAAAAACAATGAAGATTAATTTTGGAATATAAACCTTGTTACATAGTGTCCTGAAATTTACACAAGCCTAGTAATATCTTGTATGAAATAAGATTGAGAATGTACTGTGAAGGGGAATGATTGTTTAGTTAATACACACTATTAAATGTAGCTGGTTATTCTGAATTTAAATTGATTGAGAGTTGAAGATTACACGAGTAGACTGTTCATTCTCTTTTGGTCATATGTTAAAATTACTGTGGAACTACTCCATGAAGAAAACTTAAAGCTACAGACTTCAATGTAAAAACTGAACATACTGTACATATGATATATACATCATAGTAATGTGTACAACAGGGGATCATGATTAAACTTGTGGTGAGGAGTAACTGACTTTATATAAGTAATTTTGTTATATATTCCTCTTGGCACAATTATTTTAATTGGGTTGGAATGATACTTTGCAGATAAGTACCAATTTACTCTGAAAAAAGAACAGGAGTACTTGTGGCACCTTAGAGACTAACAAATTTATTAGAGCATAAGCTTTCGTGGGCTACAGCCCACTTCTTCGGATGCATATAGAGTGAAACATTGAGGAGATATATATACACACATACAGAGAGCATGAACAGGTGGGAGTTGTCTTACCAACTCTGAGAGGCCAATTAAGTAAGAGAAAAAAAACTTTTGAAGTGATAATCAAGATCACTAATCAAGATCAAGATAATGCTACTCTGAAACCTGAAATTTACTCTGAGTATAGCAGCTGTTCTTAACCTGTCCGTCTTGTCAGGAGGGCAAATAGGAAGGGAGGAACAGATCCTGCAAACACAAAAAGTGACACTCTCAAATTTGATTGCAAAATGTAATGAGTTTGGCTACAGAAGCTATGCCTGGGTGCTTCAAGAAAGTTTAGTAACATTTCTTTAAAAGCAAATGTAGAGTTTTGGACAGAAAACTACAGACAATTCATATACCTCCCTTATGAGCCTAATGTGAAATAAGAATTTAGGCGTATGACTTGGTAGAATAGATGTGACTGATTTAGGTTAGGATTCTTCAGAGCCCAACGGAGTTAGACACTGACTATATCTACAGTGAGAAACACAAAACAGTTATTAGCAACCCTGCTCAAATAAAGTACACTTGCTATTGTATTACAGTAAAATCCCCGTTTTATAAACTAATTTGGCATTGAGTTTATAAAATTGAACATTATGAAGTTATAATAGGTATGGTGCACAAGTTGTAGTATGATGCACTGCATCATTTTCTTGTCCTTCATACTACTGCAAAGTGACTTCCAATGCACTGAAGGAATCAGAATATGAAGGGATGTCTACTTGCTGCTCTGACATTTTCATTATGTAACACTTTCCCCATCAGGAAAAATGGTTTGTATAACTTGTAGCTTATAAAACTGAAATTCAGTTGTGCTTAAATTTGCAATTTGTTGCAGGTTAGATCACAAACTACTCAGTGAGCAGCTTTGCCCCATAACTTTCCATGTGCATATAGGAAGAAATGTGGATTTTTCTTTTAGATATGGGTCTTACTGGTTACTTGTGCCTGACTAGACAACTGTAATGCTCTCTAATGGGGCAACAACTATTGAACCGTGGGTTCAGTGTGGGGTATACACCTGTTTATTGTATATTGCTAAATGAGGGAGGGGAGAACTACCAGGATAGATTCTTGCTAAATAGGAATAGAGGGGTTACTATATAGGGAAATGTTGAGAACCACTGCTTAAGTCCATTTGCAAGTTATTGGAACATGATTTAGCAGTGCTTCATATGATAAGTGAACTACACATGTCCTCTAATCTGTACAAATAGCTTCCCTGTGGAGTTGGAGTTTTGACTTAGCCCTGGTCTACGCAACTTCAGCTATGTGAATAACGTAGCTGAAGGCAACGTACTTAGATCAACTCACCGTGATTTCTTCACCGCGGTGAGTCGACTGCTGCTGCTCCCCCGTTGACGCTGCTTGCTCCTCTCGTGGCGCTGGAGTACAGGAGTTGATGGGAGAGCACTTGGGGGTCGATTTATCGCGCCTAGACTAGACGCAATAAATCGATTCCCTGCTGGATCGATCACTACCCGCCAGGTTGGCGGGTAGTGAAGACATACCCTTAGCCTTCTTTGGCATACTACTTGACTATCTGACAGACCACCTCTTTATGTGCAACCCCTAAAGGTGGGACTAGCCATCCCCTCCTTTTAAAGGAAGAGGGTGCTTTGGAAAGTGCCCTTCCAACAATAGAATTCTTCCTCCTCTCCACCCAAGTTGTTTTGACAGAACCTTGATTTGTTGGTGAAAAGGGCACACTTAAAAGTTCTCTCTCTTGCAGGTTTTTATTAAGGGTGTTAACATACATTTACCTTAGAGGGACAGTTGGGGTGTTTTTATGTGTATCTTAAATGTTGTACAAATGAGGAGGGACAAGTACTTTAAAAAAATCTAATTAAAAGGTGTAGACATCCTACTAAAGGGTACCAGAAACCAGCTTGTTTATTTCACCTTAGCAAGGCTTTCAGTTTATGCTGTTTACTTCATGTATTGTGTGTGTGGACACAGTTCTGTTTGGAGGTCAGTCTACAGTATCTTAAGTCAGAGCTATTTTAGGTCTATAACCTGTTAAACTGTTTCTCCTCCTGCCCTCCCTCCCTCCCGCCCCCCAATATCACCTTCAGGTGGGGATTCTCTGGTCACCATTTTCTTGTATCTGCTGCAACAGTGTAATGGCATTTTAGCTCTGAGGACCAGAGAAGTGATACTTGTCTAATGCAATCAGTGAACTCTTTAGAACTACATGGAAAAAATACTTTCACTACTACAATCATGAAAACACATTTACATGCAGAAGCAAGAAGTTTTGAAAACAAATCTAATTTGTAAATTTCTAGTCTAAAACATTGTATTAAAACTGTAGATTGTGTAAAATACTTATTGCTAGTACAGCTACTCCTGAGGAATACTACTTCAATAAAGCTTTAGTTCAGGAATAATCAGTGTTAAGAACTACACACAATCATTGTCAGTTTACATTGATTTATTCCTACTCATCATATCCACGTTACAAACAATACACTGTTTAAATTTCAAGGGATAAAACCAACAAGCCAATTTCCAGGAGTAGGAGGACCAAGTGTCTTTACCAACAAAAGTAATGTAATATAAGGCTAAAATGCCTGTTTTCTTACTATAAAGCAGGTTTTAATTTGCATTAAATGTTTTATAAAAATAACTTGAATAAGTGCAAGTAGCCTCATTGATTGCATACAAAACCACATTTTAGTTGCACTTCATTGAATGAGAGTCCAGTAGAGGACTACAAAAAAATAAGGTGGTTTTTAAATGGTCAAGTTTTAGAATTAACAAGGTCCATCTGGCTAGGTTTTTCAAGCACTTATTGTCTATATTTTAGACCTGTGTAATGTGTTACTATGCTTTGGAAAAAAATTAGATTGGACAAAAGCTATTGGACTTCAGTTTTTAATCATTCAGCTTTTATTTGTGGGCAAATCAGCATTTTCAGTTGAGAATTAAATAGTACACAAGTTGTTAGGCAAGGGGGACAAAACATTAAAATCTTCAGGGCCAAATCCTGACTTGTGTGGGAGGTTCTGCATGACTCAGGAATGTAGGCTACAACCGGTGGGTTGAAGGAAACTCATTTTGTCCAGCAAGTAGGTAACAAAAGAATCCCATTGCAGTAATTCTTAAGAGCTACTCTTAGTCACATTTTAAAACAGCCAGGATGAAGCTTGTTCCTTTCAGTAAACTTCTACAAAATCTCAAATTCATAACATGAAGGCAGACTAACAGTATATACCTTTTTGTACCAAAAAAATCCACAATAAAAAAGATAATCATATCTGGATAATATTGCTATGTGCTTCTAAAACATTTGAGGATTGCACAGTATAGTACTTGCGAATAATTTATAAACTTTTTAAAATTCCTAATATTTGAAATGGTGAAGAAAACTGAGGTTCTTTTCAAATGTCCACTATACATATTGCACTTTTCTGGTAAGCTGGGCTACTAGGTTTTGTGGAAAAATATCCAAGCTACATGTACTGAGTAAAACAGCATCACTTCAGTCCAGAAGAGGAACTTAATTTCTTTCCTGCACTGTTTTCATTGAAACTCACAACATTTTTTACAGGTTTTTGCAGCCTTTGTTGCTGAAAGATTAGTTGTTTTTTTTTATAATATTCCTTAGCTATAAAACAAACTAGGTAAATGACAAGATTTATACCAGGGGTCGGCAACGTTGGCACGCCAGGGTAAGCACCCTGGCGGGCCGGGCCAGTTTTATTTACCTGCTGACGCGGCAGGTTCGGCCGATCGCAGCCCCCACTGACCGCGGTTCGCCGTCCCGGGCCAATGGGGGCGGCGAGAAGCGGTGCGGGCGAGCGATGTGCTGGCCGCAGCTTCTCGCCGCCCCCATTGGCCCAGAACGGCGAACCACAGCCA